ATTCAATCCATTATTATTATTATTATTATTGATGTATAGCAACTTGAAAAGCTCCCAAAAATGTATTATAATGTATTATAAATATAATATAAGCTCTGGCGGACTTGGTTCTATGGTAGGTCTTAAAGGGTTAATCAACCATTTGATGTCATAACAATATCAAAGTCTAGGAAAAACACTGGAAAAGAAGAAGATTTTGAGATAGAGGTATATGAATTCCTCCACTTAGATAGGACTAATAAAAAAGGAGATGGTGTGGCACTCTATGTTAATAAAAATACTCTATACCTTAGCTTGTTAACAATACTGTAATGCTGTAAGCCTCGAGTTTGTAACTTACGTTACAATAACACTGTCGTGCACCAACAGTTTATTTAGGTCTTGGCAATTTGCTCACATAGTCCTTGACATCCTGGATGGTTGCAAGGGAGCTGCTAGTGCCATCGGGGTTAAATATTTTAATGATGGCTGGATAAAGGAAGGAATATTTGATCCCCGCCTCTCGGAGAGCTTTACGTGCATTCACCGACTCCTTTCTCTTTCATGCCACCTCGGCAGAGAAATCCTGATAGAAGGACACACTCCCTGTCTCTGTGTTTGTGGTACTTTTAGCCCTGGCAGCCTGGAGAATCTTCTGTGTATCGGTGTAGTAATGAAGCCGGACCAGTACTGCATGCGGTCCCTCCGTGCTGGTAAGCCTCATAGGTGTTCCAGTGCGATGAGCTCTATCGACTGTAATGGCACTCTGCTGAAGGCCCAGGACTTCTGGTACCCGCTTTTTAAAAAAGTCCACTGGTGCTCTACCCTCCGCGCCTTCTTTTAGCCCGACAATCGTAAATGGTCTGCATTTGTATAGCGCTTTTCTAGTCCCTTAAGGACCCCAAAGCGCTTCACACTACATTCAGTCATTCACCCATTCACACACTGGTGATGGCAGCTACATTGTAGCCACAGCCGCCCTGGGGCGCACTGACAGAGGCGAGGCTGCCGGACACTGGCGCCACCGGGCCCTCTGACCACCACCAGTAGGCAACGGGTGAAGGGTCTTGCCCAAGGACACAACGACCGAGACTGTCCAAGCCGGGGCTCGAACCGGCAACCTTCCGATTACAAAGCGAACTCCCAACTCTTGAGCCACGATCACCCCATGATAAATGACAGC